TAAAAAATTTGAATTTTAGTGTTGACTTAGGTCAAGTCATTGTTATTTTCCCTTTGCCTGTGGGCAACTGAATCTGCCAAACAAATTTCCTTTTTCCATTAGAATACTCCTTTGCCGTGATTAATGGCAACAACACCGATTGCTAAATAATGACTTGACCTATGGTAGTCACTGTTTAGAACTTTAGATATAATGTAGAAAAGGAAATGCTATTATTGAATATTAACCATTGTACTTTTATTTATTTTTAAATAATAAAATATGATTTCAGTTGCATTGGGATATTTAGATAATTTAATATAAATAAATAAAAGATAATTTAATATAATAAAATAAAAAATTTTCCTTCATTTTTTTTACCCATTTTATTTCTTTTCCAAATCAGAAGGAGATCATATAATATGTCCTTATTGGAAAATAAATAAAGGGTTATTACTTCCTTCAATATTTTCCCTTCCCTTATTCCCCCCCCCAAAAAAAAAAAAAATAATTTTCTAAATAATTTCCCGTGGTACATTTCTTTCTCTACATACTTTTTCGGGGTAACATTTTTCTTTCTCTACATACTTTTTCGGGCGACCTCTATTAAATTATGTAATTCCTTCAACCGTATTTTTTTAAAATTTAAAAGCATATAATATTATGAAATGAATAATTTCACTATATCATCGATCAAAAAATTACTACAATTACGATTTTTAATCCTTAAATCATAGATAAATATAAAAAAAATACGTAATATATATATATATTAAATTCCTATGCCATGCTTGCGACTTTTTAGTATGTAACAAAAATTACATTATAAAATTGTTAATTACCACATTTATTTCAAAAAATAAAATTTTATTTGTGCAACATTATTTACTTAGACTGCTGAAATTTTTTCAAATTTTTATTTTTTCTAAATTTTTTTTTTAGAGTCAAATGATGATTTAAAAATGATGAAAATATTTTTTTTGTTGTAATCTCATCCTTAATTTTCAGTTAGACGATTATTATTATAAAAGGTCGAAATTATGTGAATCAACAAAAAGATCAAAATAAAGTGAATCTTTGATGTTCTGTTATATTAGACCCATTTTTTCACAAAATATAAACATTTTTTTTTTTTTTTGCAATTTTGATGACTTAAATTTACTTCATGTCATCTTAGAAAATCCCTTTATGTTATTTTCACTTCAAAAATGAAATTAATTATGATAATAGTTGCAGGGCCTTCTTGCCAGACGGACGCGTGTGAGAGTGATCCAAGTCCTGGAGGACCAGGGAGGCGTTGATTATCCAGTGCATATCCCATCGGACGATTAAAAGTTAAGACAGAAGCCCAAGATATTATGCAAACGACCAGTTGTAATTATATACATAACCAACTCCAATTATAGTTTTTTTTTTTTTATTTGAATTTTTATTTGAATATGTTATGTATGTAACTCTGGTTGTGAATAAGTTGTGGAATTAATAATAATTTAAGTTTTTAAAAAATGAAAATTTTGTTGAAGACTAAGAACTTGGGATCGTCATTGATAAGGACAATTATCTACCACAAGCTGTTTATAATTAGGAACCAAAATCTCAAAGGGTCATGCAAATTGCAGGAAGCTGCTTAATTTCAATCTTACGTATACAAAACATGCCTAATAATACTGATCACAAGGTTTTCATTTCCATCTTTATGATCTTCACCATCATCTTTCTTCTGATGGTGTCGCCAACGTCCGCTGGTCGGCTTCTCGAAGGTATGCATTTAATTCATTACTCCTTTTTTCATTATTATTAATAGGAAAGAAAAAGAATTGAATTCTAATTTTTGATATACGAGAATGATGAACTCTCACTTGTGATAATTTAGATATATCATCATTAATTTACAATTAATTGATGGAATTTAAAAATTTTCACCGACTTCATAAAATTTTTTTACTTGATTTAAATATATAAATTTTATCGGAACTTTAATTTTACGATTTTGAGATAACGATCTCATATATGTTTCATTGGTTTTTATTAATATGAGATTTAAGCCATTTAAATTTTCTTAAAAAATATTATTTAATTTATGAATTTTGTTTTCGAATTAAAAGATGAAATATAAAATTCTAAAATACATAGGTACATTAGGATAAAAATCTCAAGAAAATTTTCATAAAATTCATTGGATTTTACATTTTCTCAGTCTAAAGCACCTGTTTGAATTTTTTTTTTAATGAAATTTAATTACCTGATATTTTGTATACTGCATGATAAGTGGCTGCGGCGGTGGATCACCGCCAGGAGGACCAGGGGCGCAGATAATGCAATCCATATACGCAATGCCATTAATTTATAGTTTATTTTATTTTCCGCTTTGTACCAGTGCCCAACTCTTTATTAATAAAGTATGGTAAATTTGTGATAACTGATAACAAATTATATTAAGGACTATATGCTGGTATTATTTTCTTGATTAGCTAATCTTTTTTCTTTGGTCTTTAATAATAATTTTACTGTATTATTATTGCTTTTTAACTTTAGAAATTACTGTCTTTGAAATTATTTGTGGATGGCTTCAAATAAAAATTCTATAAATAAGAGAAATAATAATATGATATACATGAAATATTCAACTTGCAAAACCATTTTATTAAACAATTCAACTTGTAAAAATCGATTAATTAACACATTTTAAATAGTTGAAAAATGTGAAAATTATTGTTCTAAAAATTATACTAACTATATATTAAATTATATTTTGCATATAAAAACCAAAACCCTAAAAATTATTGTTATTAGTATGGAAATATGTACAATATCATCAAAATTTGCAAGTTAAAAAAAGACAAATCACAAAGATTAGGATATTATAAGATTAAAGTTACAAAATTTAGACATACCGGTTGTGGCTCAGTTGGCAATGCAGACTGTGCATATGGGAAGAGCTCTTGGTTCGATCCCCACTGAATGCACCTATAGATAGGGGTGATGAGCCTTAATTGTGACTAAGCCCCGAACCGGATTAAGCGGTCCCTGGTAATGGGTCCGAATACCGGTTTGGAAAACAACTAAGTTGTTTCCGTAATTTCCTTTATAACAAAAGACATGTTTTTCATTTTTATAAAATGACATTTTCATTATGAAAGTTATAATATCTATAAATAATTTTTTCTATAAAATATTTTTATTGAATAAATGAAAATATTTAAATAACATAAAAAATTATATTATGCTTTATTATATTATGCTTTAATATATAATTAATTTTATTATTTAAAAATATATTATATCCTTTATTTTAAGAAAATTTAACAAAATGATAAAATGATAAAAATTGATATTATTATTATAAATAATTAGTAATTAACAAAACTTCAAAAATTTTTAAATAAAAATTTTCTAAATTTATTTTATAATATTTTATTTTAATTATGAATGTCATGAATAATGTTTGTGAAGTTTTTAAATTAAACTTTATAATAAAATTTTTTATTGTTACCAAGTAATTGCATTTTCCATTTTCCTATTTTCTATTTTTCATTTTTTAAGAAAACTGTTTTGCAATAAAGTAGAAAACTATTTTCTATAAGTAAATAGATCACAATTTATTTTCTTGGAGGACTAAGTTGTGATCTGAGTTAGTTGTGGAAGAGTAGGTATAAGTAGTTGAACACCCAAGATGAATAATGAACTTACATGGATATTAGCATCAACACCATTCTCCAGTCTCTTGTTTAAAATTGACAGTCTATAAGCTCTTTGCTTGCATAACAAAAACAATGGCTAAGGGAGCAACAAGGAAGGTTTGGCGAGGTTGATCCTCCAAATCATAATTTGATTTTGGCTTCTGCTCCTATCATCCATAAACTGCTCGGAAACATCCTAGTAAGTATATATTGCATCTTATTTATCAATCCAACCATTTATTTTCACTATAATATAAGGTAATTAATTAATTAAAGAATTAATTAATATAAGTTAATCAAATTATTTCAATTTCAGAATTAACTTTCAAAAATGAATTAATTTGGCATATGAAATAAAATGATCCAATTTGACAGCTATTTGAATGACATATATATGATTGATGGTGTTTGTAGGAAGTTGCATAGAAGCATGTCCAGGCAAGTCACCGCCCGGAGGACCAGGGATGCGCTCATAAGAAGCTCAAAATTTAATCTATGTGAGCAATTACACCTAATTCCTCTTCTTCTTCTCTTTTTTCTTCTTCCCTTCTTTTTTTTTTTTTTTTTTTTTTTTTTTTTTTTTTTTTTTTTTTTTTTAAATGTTTGAACTACCAACTCTAAGCTTGTAAGAGTATCTTGAAATCCCAAATGATGTAAGAGTATTTTGGAAATCCCAGATTACATGAGAAAGACTGATTTGGATCAACAGTTGTCATGTAGAAATATGTGGATTAATTTTTTATTGAAAATATATAAAATGAGTAAATAACACATATGAATAAGATGAATCAATTAAAATCACTTGGTCCATTTTATTTTATGTTGAAGAAAACTCAACTTCTTATAAGTCTAAATTATTAAATGAAATTATTAATTGAATTTGATTTTAACATATTAACTACGTGTGTTATATAAATAACAATAAATTTAACATATTTTTAATATATTATTTGTAAATTATTAGGTATTTTTGTTAAAGAAAGTTATTAGGAAATTCATTCAATAAAGAATATAATTATGGATATGCCATAATAATATTTATAGGATTAAAAAATATAAATATAGATATTTAAAATCTTTTATTTGGAAGAAAATGTTTAATATTTCCAAGCAAAAAATAACCCATTAATTAATTTTTTTTTAATAGAATGAACCAAAAATTATCAACTATGATTTGGTATTAAGGGTTTGTAAAATGCATGTCATGGTTAATGGAATTTTATCAAATTTCCTATAATTCTTAAAAACACTAATTTACATATTTATCCTTCACTAACATAAAATTCAACAAAAATGGCAAAAGTTAGTTAACATAAATAAAATTATAGGGACCTAAAAGTTCAACATAATAAAATTATAGGGACCTAAAAGTTCAACTTTTAAAATAAAGATTTTGACTTGTAAATGAGGTTAAACATGAGGTAATAAATAATAATCAATGCTTAAATATTCTTAATTATTATATTATAAGGATGACCACTTTTTTTATTTTAGCTTTTCCTTACAAATTTTGTTCTCCTCAGTTCTTCTATTAATTTTGTCTTTTGACTTATTAAAAACATTATAATATTATTTTATATAAATTTTGGTTCCTCCAAGTTTGAGATTATCACACCTGTCTCTGTCTATATATAAATTTAAAGCAGTAGCTATAAGTTGTGACATCCTATTTCATATTAATGAAAAAACCTGGAAAGGTTCAACTTGGGCTGCAAGTAAAACGACAGCTCCACAGAAAGTCTGGAATAAGAGTTTAAAATGAAAATTCTGTGGAAAATTATGGCCTTGATAAGGATAATTATCTACCACATATTGTTTATAAAAAGGACCATAATATATTGCTGCAGGAGAAGTTCCAAGCCATTCGGCTTTGTTTAAGATATGGCTAATAATGCTCATCACAAGGTTTTCATTGCTCTCTTTATATTTATCTTCATCATTTTTGCTCTGATACAGCCGTCAACCTCCGCTCGTCAGCTTCTAGGTATGTACGAGTACTGAGTTTTTTTTTTGTTCATTTTTTTTTTCCTTGCTTTGATATATTATGACTCAAAGTTTGGAGATGACTTTAGTACTATAGAAGAGCTGCTAGCCACCTTTGTTGAAAAAAAAAAAAAGTATAAAATTTAGTTTTGCTCAATTCCACGTCGGGGAGAAGAGCATGTGAGAGTGGTGGATTGGCTATAAAAAAGAAGCTAAGGTTTAGGTTTCTAAACACACAAAAAACACTTGAATGTATTTTATATTAGGGATTTAGAGCAAGTCTTTTGGAATCCCTTGGAGTATAAAATATTTGAGGTGTTTTGAGGGTATCGGGTAGAAAAATATTTTGTAATTGTGGTTGTAACAATTTGCCACGTAGTGAATATTTTTCTTGGTTGTCGTTTGGCAACGGCCGTGGTTTTTCTCTACTTGGGGAGTTTTCCACGTTAAATTATCGTGTTATTTATTCTCTAACCTCCGCTCGTCAGCTTCTATGTATGTACGAGTACTGAGTTTTTCTTTTTGTTCATTTTTTTTCCCTTGCTTTGATATATTATGACTCAAAATTTGGAGATGAATTTAGTATTATAAAGGGGCAACTCTTTAATTAAGTTTGGATCTTCTGCTCAAGTTGTTTTTTTTTTTTATTTTTTTTTATTTTTTATTTGTTATCTGTTGTACTGAGTGTTAGAATATAATCAACTTGAATTCAAGATAGTTATTCGAAATCTTAGGGAAAGATTGAATTTTTTATCTCGTGTACTTTCATCTGCAATTCTTCTAATTTCATTTAATTTAGATATTTAAAATAATTTTTCATCGTCTGGTACAAATAAGAATTAAATGAATCAAATGAATCCATGTAAAAACTTAAAAATTGAGCTTAACATTCCACTTGAACTCAATTATATCCTGATTCCTTTTCTTTTTAATCTCATTGTAACTGGTAATCAATTAACAGAGAAAAAAGAAAAAGAATTTTGAATTCTCTTTTTTTTTTTTTTAATGAAATTAATTATTGATATTTGTAGACTGCGCGATAAGTCCGTGCGGCGGTGGATCACCACCAGGAGGACCAGGAAAACGCAGATAATCGAATCGATATCCCTTCGGTAACATTTAAAGTTTGATGAAATGTTGCTTTTTTTTAAATATTTTATAAACGCAGACAATTATTCAGGCAACTAACAATTACTGAAATAATTAATTTATCGACATAGCCTTTAATCATTAGTTGATACCTTATAAAGTTTCAACTAACTTTTTATTTTATTACTATATTTTGGAGCTTTTCGTATTAACAGGTGGTAACTGATTGATATTTATATTATATTAATCTCATAAAATAATAACTAATAAACTTTTTTTCAAATTAATATTTTTATATCATCATTTTATTCATAAGTAATTAAAGATAATCATTTTATTCATAAGTAATTAAAGATAACAAATAATTATATGATTTCTTTTAACGAAATTAATTATGATACTTATAGGAGCGGCGCAACCCAGTGGATCAGTAGCAGAAGGACCAGGAAAATAAATAAAGTATTACTTCCTTCAATATTTTTCCAATATTTTCTTTTCCAAATCAGAGAGATTCATATAATGTCCTTATGGAAAATAAATAAAGTATTACTTCCTTCAATATTTTTCCTTCCTCATTCCCAAAAAAAAAAAAAAAAAAAAAAACTATTTCCTTAAATATTTTCTTGGAATATTTTCTTTCTCTTAACATACTATTTTCGTCGGCCTCTATTAAAATTATGTATTCCTCTCAACCGTATTTTTTTAAAATTTAAAAGGGCAATAATTTATTGGAAACGAATAAATTCACTATATATTATCGGATCCAAAAATTACTACAATATGAATTTTTAATCCTTTAAATCATTAGATAAATATAAAACAATACATAATACTTACTTTATATATATATAATATATATTTATATATATATATATTAATTCTATGCCATTGCTGCGATTTTTTTTTAGTATGTTTAACAAAAATTACATTTATAAAAAATTGTTAATTAAACACATTTTATTTCAAAAAATAAAAATTATATTTTGTTGCAACATTTTTATTTAGACTGTCTTGAAATTTTTTCAAATATTTTTTATTTTTTCTTAATTTTTTTTAGAGGTCACATGATTTTGATTTTAAAATAATGAAAATACTTTTTTTTTTTGTTGTAATCTCATCCTTTAATTTTCAGGTTTTAGGACCATTATTAGTAATCTCATCCTTAATTTTCAGTTAGACCATTATTATTATAAAAGGTCGAAATTATGTGAATTAACAAAAAGATAAAAATAAAGTGAATCTTTGATGTTCTGTTATAATAGACCCATTTTTTCACAAAATATAAATTTTTTTTTTTTTTTTTTGCAATTTTGATGTTCAAGTCATCACGACCAGGAGGACCAAGAAGATACGGATAATGAATCGATATCCCTTCCGAGGCTTACGTGAGAAGCTCAATATAATGTGCAAATGATATACTGGGAATGATATATAAACAACTTAACTAGTATGTTTTATTTTATTTTCCTTGGTCTTTTTCATCGGGTTTGTCTGTTAAATTCGACAATTGTATTAGAAATAAGTCAATTACATCAGTCACTTGCCTTGGTGTGCAAGTGTGTTTTGACTTTCGATATTATTGCCAATAAATTTTAAATATTTTGTTTTCGCATAAACTTACTGCGGAATGCTAACTGCAGTTACTAGATACTCCTTCTATGTCATTTGAGTGTTGTTTAAGATAATAATTGCACAATTAAATACTCTCCATGTAATTTCAAGAATTATTTAATATAATTACACAAAGATTAAAGAAATCAGCATTACCCACCAACAAGATATGAGTTAAGCTAGGTAAACGACCTCAATCCTTATAAGGATGAAAATACAAGTTCGAGTTCGATCCTCAAAAAGCTCATTTTGCTGGGACGACAAAAAATATTTACGCTCTACGGCTCAAGCGGATTACACATCATGATTATTTATATATAAAAAAAATCATTAGCCACAATATATACCAAAAATACAAGTTGTAATTAAATAAAATATCTTCTTTTTTTTTTTTTTGTCAATTCTCTAAATAAATGAATACTACGGAGATACCAATAGCGTGATATGGCTCAGTGTTATCAATTCAATCGGCTTAATTGAAATATGTTCAACTGTAAATGTCAAGAAAAAAATGGTGAAACTGAAAAAGATAATTAAGACTTAATTTTCTAAAATGATAAAGAAATGAAACAGATTTCTAAAGTAACACTTGAAATGAGACGGAGAAAATAGTTGACAAAAATAATTTACTTCACACTTTATTAATAAATTATAAAAAATTAAATTTCTAATATTATAATATATGAAACTATTATAATATATGAAACATGTAATCATATCCTCAAGTTTCTTTCCTTAGCAATATGAAGAGAGCAATCTTTTCATAGTAACTTGGTGCATTTTTCTTTTGAAATTGATTCAGCTACGCTTTGGGAGATGGTTAATCATATGTACAAGAATGGTTAGTTGGGATCCTGAGGCTTTGATTGCTGACATCCGAGAAAGATTAGCATTTTTTGGTCATTACCAGCTTATTCTTATTTATAGAGCTGCAAATATAGCAGCTGACCTTTTAAGCATGTTTCAGGAATATTTTCTCCGCCCGTTGGATTTGTAATCCTCCTATTTCTTTATCTGCAATTTTGTATTTAGATGCTAATAGGCTTTATCAATGAAATTATATTCATTCTGTTCAAAAAAAAAAAAAAAAAAAAAAAATTGGAAAAAAAAAAAAAAAAAAAAACAGAAAATTGGTGCAGTTTTAGAAGTAATATTTCTGAAATATTATCCAACAATGTTGATAAAATTGGTAAAAGAAAAGTTTTCATCTTTGAATAAAACGTTGATGGTTAATCATTGACCTTAACTTTGAGTCAAGCAATATTTGTATTCTTTTTCCACAAAATCAATAACAGTTACATGTTCATGAGGGCACTAACAGTTACATCTCATTTGTATGAAATAACATTGCTCAATATGGAGGTGATCCTAACCGGTAATGGATTTTTTTTCCTTTTTCAAATTTTTTTTTAATATCAGTGTTTAGATTCAATTTACTGGTGAATGCTAATGATGTTGTTATCCCTGTGTTTTCCTTGATAGAATTTATTTAATGGGATAATCAGCTGGTGCACATATTGCTGCTTGTACTCTTCTAGAGCAGGCAATCAAGGAGGCTGGTGAAGGAGCAAGCATTACTTGGAGTCTGTCCCAGATTAAGGCTTATTTTGGACTTTCTGGAGGGTTAGTTTTTGTTAAGACAATGCAGTATCTGCTTGCTTAAATGACCATAAACATTACTTAGATTTTTCTTATTTGGAGCTTTTTTTTACAATTTTTCCTGTCACATCTAAAAGCAGGTACAATTTGTTAAAACTCGTAGATTATTTCCACAGTCGTGGTTTATATCGTTCTGTCTTCTTAAGGTAAAGCATTTCTTCGTTTCTTGTTGAACTGTAGCTATGCTTCAGTTTCATTCAGTTAATGATGCCTTCATTCTCTGCGTCTCATTCTGATATGCTGATGACTCCATTTTCATACAGCATAATGGAAGGAGAAGAATCCTTACGAAGATTTTCACCTGAAGTAATTGTAAAGGACCCCAGTGTGAAAAATGTGGTTTCTCTGCTACCTCCTATTGTTCTTTTTCATGGTACTGCAGATTACTCTATTCCAGCAGACGCCAGGTCAGTTCTTCATGTCAAGAATCTTTTTTCTTTCATATATTCGGTATTCTTTTATAAATTTAAATGGGTTACTTATGTGATAGGATTGTTGAGGCATGGTGTTTTTATGTTAATCACATTTGCTGTTCATCATTTTTAGACCTCCCGGCCGGTTATCTTTCACTCCTCAGATGTTTGGGAGGATCCCTGCCCTCTCCTCCTGGTTAGTCCCCAATAACTACAAGCCGGAATACATGAAAAATTTTAACATTAATTAATTATTATGTACTTACCTTTCATATTTATATTTAAAAGGGGTACATGGGAATTAACAATTATGCTTGCAGCTTTGGTTTATGGTTTTTGTAATCATTTTAAGTCATGGTTATCTGGTCTTGGATTTATCAAAGTATGTTCTTATTTTCATTTTGCAATTGATTTGGTTTTTGTTTATTTATGCATTTCACTGTAAATTTAATGACGACAATTAATTTAAGGGTTTGAACTCAAAATTTTGCAATATATGTTATTCATTAGGTAAAATAATGACCCAATTATAGTCGAGTAAAAATATGACCAATTATATCGAGTTCTTAATTCGTATATTATTAAGACTTTATTCGTCAACAGCTTTTAAAGTAGTCAAAACGTATATTATGAAGTAAATTATTGCATATGACGCTTACAATCGTAAATTAAAATTTCAAGATATGAATGATTTTCCTCGTTAATTGATTAATGTCTAATCATTTTGATAATAGTTGAACTTCATCACAAATTCAAACTTTGACCATCGCCTATATGTTCTAAGTTAATAGTTTCTAAATAAATTATTTGCTAAAAATCAACAGAATCTAAAAGAATATGTTTTTTTTAATTTATAGGCATTTAATATTATAATTAATTTCTATATCAATGATATTTATTTAATTAAATTGATTTAATAATACAAGATATTCACATTCAAATTAAGATATAAAAAAATTAATAAAAAAAGATAAATAGCAAATTTTCATATCAATTAAGATATAACAAAATTATATGATAAACAATTTGAATTTTAGTGTTGACTTAGGTCAAGTCATTGTTATTTTCCCTTTGCCTGTAGGCATCTGAATCTGCCAAACAAATTTCCTTGTTCCATTAGAATACTCCTTGCCGTGATTAATGGTACTTCCCTTGGCCCGTGATTAATGGCAACAAACACCGATTGGCTTACAAATACATGACTTGACCTATGGTAGTCACTGTAGACTTTAGATATAATGAGAAAAGGAAATGCTATTATTGAATATCAACCCATGTGTACTTTTATTATTTTTAAATTAATAAAATATGATTTCAGTTGCATGGGATATTTAGATAATTTTAATATAAATAAATAAAATCTTTCTATTTTTTTCCATTATTTCTTTTTCCAAATCAGAGACGATTTTCATATAATTATGTCCTTATGGAAAATAAATAAAATATTTAATTCCCTTCAATATTTTTCCTTCCTTATTCCAAAAAAAAAAAAAAAATACTATTTTCTAAATATTTTACATGGTAAACATTTTTCCTTTCTTCTCATCTTTTTTCGGGCGACCTCGGTATTAATATGTATTCCTTCAACCGTATTATTTTTTAAAATTTAAAAGGCATTATAATTATTACTGAAATGAATAATTTGCACTATATCATCGATCAAAAATTTACTACAATTACGATTTTAATCCTTAAATCTAGATAAATATTTAAAAAAAATACGTATAATATATATATTAAATTCCTATGCCATTGCTTGCGACTTTTTAGTATTGTAACAAAAATTACATTATAAAATTTGTTAATTACCACATTATTTTCAAAAAATAAAATTTTATTTGTGCAACATTATTTACTTAGACTGCTGAAATTTTTTTCAATTTTATTTTTTTTCTAAATTTTTTTTTAGAGTCCAAATGCATGCATTTAAAAATGTTGGAAAATATTTTTTTTTTGTTTGTAAATCTCAATCCTTAATTTTCAGTTAGACGATTTTTATTATATAAAAGGAAATACAAAAAGATAAAAATAAAGTGAATCTTTGATGTTCTGTTATAATAGACCCATTTTTTCACAAAATATAAATTTTTTTTTTTTTTTTTGCAATTTTGATGGCTTAAATTTACTTCAAGTCATCTTAGAAAATCCCTTTATGTTATTGTCACTTCAAAAATGAAATTAATTGTGATAATAGTTGCAGGGCCTTCTTGCCAGGCGGACGCGTGTGAGAGTGATCCAAGTCCTGGAGGACCAGGGAGGCGTTGATTATCCAGTGCATATCCCATCGGACGATTAAAAGTTAAGACAGAAGCCCAAGATATTATGCAAACGACTAGTAGTATTATATACATAACCAACTCAATTCATTAACCCAACTCAATTATAGGTCTTTTTTTTCTTTTTATTTGAATATGTTATGTATTGTAACTCTGGGTTTTTTATTTGAATATGTTATGTATGTAACTCTGGTTGTGAATAAGTTGTGGAATTAATAATAATTTAAGTTTTTAAAAAATGAAAATTTTGTTGAAGATTATCTAACTTGGGATCGTCATTGATAAGGACAATTATCTACCACAAGCTGTTTATAATTGGGAATCCAAAATCTCAAAGGGTCATACAAATTGCAAGAAGCTACTTAATTCCAATCCTGCGAATATAAAACATGCCTAATAATACTGATCACAAGGTTTTCATTTCCATCTTTATGATCTTCACCATCATCTTTCTTCTGATGGTGTCGCCAACCTCCGCTGTTCGGCTTCTCGAAGGTATGCATTTAATTCATTACTCCTTTTATCATTATTATTAATAGTAAAGAAAAAGAATTCTAAATTCTAATTTTTGATATATGAGAAACATCAACTCTCACTTGTGATAATCTAGATATATCATCATTAATTTACAATTAATTGATGGAATTTAAAAATTTTCACTGACTTTATAAAATTTTTTTACTTGATTGAAATTGATAAATTATATCGGAAAGTTAATTTTACTATTTTGAAATAACAATCTATATATGTTTCATTGTTTTTTATTAGCAACGAGATTTAAGCCATTTAAATTTTTTTTTTAAATATATTATTTAATTTATCAATTTTGTTTTCGAATTAAAGGATGAAATATAAAATTCTAAAATACATAGGATAAAAATCTAAGAAAATTTCATAAATTCATGGATTTTACATTTTCTTTGTCTAAAGCACCTGTTTGAATTTTTTTTTTAATGAAATTAATTACTGGTATTTGTAGACTGCATGATAAGTGCGTGCGGCGGTGGATCACCGCCAGGAGGACCAGGGAGGCGCAGATAATGCAATCCATATACGAATGCCATTAATTATAGTTTATTTTATTTTCCGGCTTGTACCAGTGCCCAACTCTTTATTAATAACAGTTGTAAATTTGTGATAACAAATTATATTAAGGACTATATGTTGGTATTATTTTCTTGATTAGCTAATCTTTTTTCTTTGGTCTTTAATAATAATTTTACTGTATTATTATTGCTTTTTAACTTTAGAAATTACTGTCTTTGAAATTATTTGTTGCTTTTTAACTTTAGAAATTACTGTCTTTGAAATTATTTGTTGACAGCTTCTAATAAAAATTCTATAAATAAGAGAAATAATAATATGATATACATGAAACATTCAACTTGCAAAACCATTTTATTAAACAATTCAACTCGTAGAAATAGATTAATTAACACATTTTAAATAGTTAAAAAATGTGAAAATTATTGTTCTAAAAATTATGCTAACTATATATTAAATTATATTTTGCATATAAAAACCAAAATCCTAAAAATGTTAGTATGGAAATATGTACAATATCATCAAAATTGCAAGTTAAAAAAAGACAATAGGTTATCACAAAGATTAGGATATTATTGGATTAAAATTACAAAATTAAGACCTACAGGTTACAACTCAGTTGGCAACGCAGGTTGGACATGTGGGAAGAATTTTCAGTTCGATCCCCACTAAACGCACCTGCAGGGAAGGGTGAGAAGTCTTAACTGTAATTAAACTCCTAGCCAGATTAGACGGTCCCTGTCAATGACATCCGAATACTAGTTTACACTAAAAAAAGTTACAAAATTCATTAGTGAATTTATACATTCAGTCTATTTACATGGAGGTTGAACTTTATAATTGAATTGATAAAATTGAAAAGATAAGGGAGTGTTTAACTAAGATTTGGAAAATAACTAAGTTGTTTCCGTAATTTCCTTTATAACAAAAGATATGTTTTTCATTTTTATAAAATGACATTTTCATTATGAAAGTCTTAATATCTATAAATAATTTTTTCTATAAAATATTTTCATTGAATAAATAAAAATCAATTGAATAAATAAAATATTCTAAATAAATAAAAAATTATACATACTTTAATATTATTATTATTATTTATAATATTTATATCCTTTATTTTTTTTTAAGAATTTTACAAAAATTGATTAAAAAATTGATTTCTTATTATTATAAATAATCAGTAAAAAAAAATTCAAAAATTTTTAAATAAAAATTATTTTCTAAATTTATTTTATAATATTTTATTTTAATTATGAATGTCATCAATAATGTTTTGTGAAGTTTTTAAAATAAAATTTATAATAAAAAATTTTAATTTTTTATTGTTATCAAGTAATCGCATTTTCCATTTTCTATTTTCTAATTTTCATTTTCTAAGAAAAATGTTCCGTGATAAAACAGAAAACTAATTTCTATAAGTAAATACACCACAATTTATTTTCTTGGAGGACTAAGTTAGTTGTGGAAGAGTAGGTATAAGTCGTTGAAACCCAAGATGAATAATGAACTTACATGGATATTAGCATCAACACCATTCTCCAGTCTCTTGTTTAAAATTGACAGTTTCTATAAGCTCTTTGCTTGCATAAAGAGGATGTTACAGTTTCTATAAGCCCTTTGCTTGCATAACAACAACAATGGCTAAGAGCAACAAGAAGGTTGCGGTGATCCTCCAAATCATAATTCTGATTTTGGCTCTGCACCTATCATCCATAACTGCTCGGCAACATCCTAGTAAGTATATATTGCATCTTATTTATCAATCCAACCATTATTTTTCATATAATATGAGTAATTAATTAATATAAGTTGTTACCGCCCGGAGGACCAGGGATGCGCACATAAGAAGCTCAAAATTTAAATTATGTGAGCAATTACACCTAATTCCTCTTCTTCTTCTGCTTTTTCTTCTTCCCTTTTTTTTTTTTTTCTAATGTTTGAACTACCAACTCTAAGCTTGTATTTAAGGCTCTTGAAATCCCAAATGATGTAAGAGTATTTTGGAAATCCCAAATTACATGATAAAAACTGATTTGGATCAACAGTTGTCATGTAGAAATATGTAGATTAATTTTTTATTGAAAAAATATATAAAATTAGTAAATAACACATACGAGATGATGCGTCCCACATCGCCCGCGGAGTACATCCTGAGCTAGTATATAAGGCTGGGTTCAGAAATGATGTAAGAGTATTTTGGAAATCCCAAATTACATGAGAAAGACTGATTTGGATCAACAGTTATCATGTAGAAATATGTAGATTAATTTTTTATTGAAAATATATAAAATGAGTAAATAACACATACAAATAAGATGAATCAATTAAAATTACTTGTTCCATTTTATTTTATGTTGAAGAAAAGTCAACTCCTTATAAGTCTAAATTATTAAATGAAATTATTAATTGAATTTGATTTTAACATATTAACTACGTGTGTTATACAAATAACAATAAATTTAACATATTTTTAATATATTATTTTGTAAATTATTAGTATTTTTTTTGTAAATTATTAGTATTTTTTAAAAGAAAGTTATTAGAAATTCATCAATAAAGAATATAATATGGATATGCCATAATAATATTATAGGATTAAAAAAAATATATAAATATAGATATTTAAAATTTTTTATTTGGAAGAAAAGATTAATAGTCCAAGCAAAAATAACCACTTAATTAATTTTTAAATAGAATGACAAAATTATCAACTATTATTTGGTATTAAGGTTTGTTAAAATGCATGTCATGGTTAATGAATTTTATCAAATTTCCTAAAATCTTAAAAACACTAATTTACTATTTATCCTTCACATAAAATTCAACAAAATGGCAAAGTAGTTAACATAATAAAATTATAGGGACCTAAAAGTTCAACTTTTAAAATAAAGATTTTGACTTGTAAATGAGGTTAAACATGAGATACTAAATAATAATCAATCCTTAAGTATTCTTAATTACTATATTATATTATAAGGATGACCACTTTTTTTATTTTAGCTTTTAATGAATAATATTATATTTATATTATATTACATTATAAGGATGACCACTATTTCATATTAATGAATAATATTAATGAAAAAACCTGGAAAGGTTCAACTTGGGCTGCAAGTAAAACGACAGCTCCACAGAAAGTCTGGAATAAGAGTTTAAAATGAAAATTCTGTGGAAAATTATGGCCTTGATAAGGATAATTATCTACCACATATTGTTTATAAAAAGGACCATAATATATTGCTGCAGGAGAAGTTCCAAGCCATTCGGCTTTGTTTAAGATATGGCTAATAATGCTCATCACAAGGTTTTCATTGCTCTCTTTATATTTATCTTCATCATTTTTGCTCTGATACAGCCGTCAACCTCCGCTCGTCAGCTTCTAGGTATGTACGAGTACTGAGTTTTTTTTTTGTTCATTTTTTTTTTCCTTGCTTTGATATATTATGACTCAAAGTTTGGAGATGACTTTAGTACTATAGAAGAGCTGCTAGCCACCTTTGTTGAAAAAAAAAAAAAGTATAAAATTTAGTTTTGCTCAATTCCACGTCGGGGAGAAGAGCATGTGAGAGTGGTGGATTGGCTATAAAAAAGAAGCTAAGGTTTAGGTTTCTAAACACACAAAAAACACTTGAATGTATTTTATATTAGGGATTTAGAGCAAGTCTTTTGGAATCCCTTGGAGTATAAAATATTTGAGGTGTTTTGAGGGTATCGGGTAGAAAAATATTTTGTAATTGTGGTTGTAACAATTTGCCACGTAGTGAATATTTTTCTTGGTTGTCGTTTGGCAACGGCCGTGGTTTTTCTCTACTTGGGGAGTTTTCCACGTTAAATTATCGTGTTATTTATTCTCTATTAACAGAGAAAAAAGAAAAAGAATTCTGATTTCTCTTTTTTTTTTTAATGAAATTAATTATTGATCAAAAAGATAAAAATAAAGTGAATCTTTGATGTTCTGTTATAATAGACCCATTTTTTCACAAAATATAAATTTTTTTTTTTTTTTTTTGCAATTTTGATGTTCAAGTCATCACGACCAGGAGGACCAAGAAGATACGGATAATGAATCGATATCCCTTCCGAGGCTTACGTGAGAAGCTCAATATAATGTGCAAATGATATACTGGGAATGATATATAAACAACTTAACTAGTATGTTTTATTTTATTTTCCTTGGTCTTTTTCATCGGGTTTGTCTGTTAAATTCGACAATTGTATTAGAAATAAGTCAATTACATCAGTCACTTGCCTTGGTGTGCAAGTGTGTTTTGACTTTCGATATTATTGCCAATAAATTTTAAATATTTTGTTTTCGCATAAACTTACTGCGGAATGCTAACTGCAGTTACTAGATACTCCTTCTATGTCATTTGAGTGTTGTTTAAGATAATAATTGCACAATTAAATACTCTCCATGTAATTTCAAGAATTATTTAATATAATTACACAAAGATTAAAGAAATCAGCATTACCCACCAACAAGATATGAGTTAAGCTAGGTAAACGACCTCAATCCTTATAAGGATGAAAATACAAGTTCGAGTTCGATCCTCAAAAAGCTCATTTTGCTGGGACGACAAAAAATATTTACGCTCTACGGCTCAAGCGGATTACACATCATGATTATTTATATATAAAAAAAATCATTAGCCACAATATATACCAAAAATACAAGTTGTAATTAAATAAAATATCTTCTTTTTTTTTTTTTTGTCAATTCTCTAAATAAATGAATACTACGGAGATACCAATAGCGTGATATGGCTCAGTGTTATCAATTCAATCGGCTTAATTGAAATATGTTCAACTGTAAATGTCAAGAAAAAAATGGTGAAACTGAAAAAGATAATTAAGACTTAATTTTCTAAAATGATAAAGAAATGAAACAGATTTCTAAAGTAACACTTGAAATGAGACGGAGAAAATAGTTGACAAAAATAATTTACTTCACACTTTATTAATAAATTATAAAAAATTAAATTTCTAATATTATAATATATGAAACTATTATAATATATGAAACATGTAATCATATCCTCAAGTTTCTTTCCTTAGCAATATGAAGAGAGCAATCTTTTCATAGTAACTTGGTGCATTTTTCTTTTGAAATTGATTCAGCTACGCTTTGGGAGATGGTTAATCATATGTACAAGAATGGTTAGTTGGGATCCTGAGGCTTTGATTGCTGACATCCGAGAAAGATTAGCATTTTTTGGTCATTACCAGCTTATTCTTATTTATAGAGCTGCAAATATAGCAGCTGACCTTTTAAGCATGTTTCAGGAATATTTTCTCCGCCCGTTGGATTTGTAATCCTCCTATTTCTTTATCTGCAATTTTGTATTTAGATGCTAATAGGCTTTATCAATGAAATTATATTCATTCTGTTCAAAAAAAAAAAAAAAAAAAAAAAATTGGAAAAAAAAAAAAAAAAACAGAAAATTGGTGCAGTTTTAGAAGTAATATTTCTGAAATATTATCCAACAATGTTGATAAAATTGGTAAAAGAAAAGTTTTCATCTTTGAATAAAACGTTGATGGTTAATCATTGACCTTAACTTTGAGTCAAGCAATATTTGTATTCTTTTTCCACAAAATCAATAACAGTTACATGTTCATGAGGGCACTAACAGTTACATCTCATTTGTATGAAATAACATTGCTCAATATGGAGGTGATCCTAACCGGTAATGGATTTTTTTTCCTTTTTCAAATTTTTTTTTAATATCAGTGTTTAGATTCAATTTACTGGTGAATGCTAATGATGTTGTTATCCCTGTGTTTTCCTTGATAGAATTTATTTAATGGGATAATCAGCTGGTGCACATATTGCTGCTTGTACTCTTCTAGAGCAGGCAATCAAGGAGGCTGGTGAAGGAGCAAGCATTACTTGGAGTCTGTCCCAGATTAAGGCTTATTTTGGACTTTCTGGAGGGTTAGTTTTTGTTAAGACAATGCAGTATCTGCTTGCTTAAATGACCATAAACATTACTTAGATTTTTCTTATTTGGAGCTTTTTTTTACAATTTTTCCTGTCACATCTAAAAGCAGGTACAATTTGTTAAAACTCGTAGATTATTTCCACAGTCGTGGTTTATATCGTTCTGTCTTCTTAAGGTAAAGCATTTCTTCGTTTCTTGTTGAACTGTAGCTATGCTTCAGTTTCATTCAGTTAATGATGCCTTCATTCTCTGCGTCTCATTCTGATATGCTGATGACTCCATTTTCATACAGCATAATGGAAGGAGAAGAATCCTTACGAAGATTTTCACCTGAAGTAATTGTAAAGGACCCCAGTGTGAAAAATGTGGTTTCTCTGCTACCTCCTATTGTTCTTTTTCATGGTACTGCAGATTACTCTATTCCAGCAGACGCCAGGTCAGTTCTTCATGTCAAGAATCTTTTTTCTTTCATATATTCGGTATTCTTTTATAAATTTAAATGGGTTACTTATGTGATAGGATTGTTGAGGCATGGTGTTTTTATGTTAATCACATTTGCTGTTCATCATTTTTAGACTTGAAGGGTCCAGGCCATTAAACAGCTCCCGGCGGTTACTCTTTTCACTCCTCAGATGTTTTGGAGGAAATTCCGCCCCTCTCCTCCTGGGTACAGTCCAACTAGCTAACAAACGGAAATAATGAAAAGTTTTAACATTAATAATATTATGTACATTTTACTTTCATATTTTTATTTACGGTAATGGGAATTAATTATGCTTGGCAGCTTGTTTAATGGATTTTGAATAATCATTTTAGTCATGTACTCTGTCTTGATTATCAATAAGTAGTGTTTTCTTATTTCATTTGGCAATTGAATTGGTCTTGTTTTATTCTATGCCATTTGCACTGTTATATTTATGAGACCAATAATTTAAGGGTTTGAACTCAAATTTTTGGCAATATAATGGTTTATTCAATTAGTAAAAAAAGTAAAAATATGACCAATTATATCGAGTTCTTAATTCGTATATTATTAAGACTTTATTCGTCAACAGCTTTTAAAGTAGTCAAAACGTATATTATGAAGTAAATTATTGCATATGACGCTTACAATCGTAAATTAAAATTTCAAGATATGAATGATTTTCCTCGTTAATTGATTAATGTCTAATCATTTTGATAATAGTTGAACTTCATCACAAATTCAAACTTTGACCATCGCCTATATGTTCTAAGTTAATAGTTTCTAAATAAATTATTTGCTAAAAATCAACAGAATCTAAAAGAATATGTTTTTTTTAATTTATAGGCATTTAATATTATAATTAATTTCTATATCAATGATATTTATTTAATTAAATTGATTTAATAATACAAGATATTCACATTCAAATTAAGATATAAAAAAATTAATAAAAAAAGATAAATAGCAAATTTTCATATCAATTAAGATATAACAAAATTATATGATAAACAATTTGAATTTTAGTGTTGACTTAGGTCAAGTCATTGTTATTTTCCCTTTGCCTGTAGGCATCTGAATCTGCCAAACAAATTTCCTTGTTCCATTAGAATACTCCTTGCCGTGATTAATGGTACTCCTTGCCGTGATTAATGGGCAACACCGATTGTTAAATAATGACTTGACCCATGGTAGTCACTGTTTAGAACTTTAGATATAATGAAGAAAAGGAAATGCTATTATTGAATATTAACCATTGTCCTTTTATTTATTTTTAAATAATAAAATATGATTTCAGTTGCATTGGGATATTTAGATAATTTAATATAAATAAATAAAATTTTCTATTTTTTTTTTTTCCAATATTTTCTTTTCCAAATCAGAGAGATTCATATAATGTCCTTATGGAAAATAAATAAAGTATTACTTCCTTCAATATTTTTCCTTCCTCATTCCCAAAAAAAAAAAAAAAAAAAAAAGAATTTCTAATTACTTTTTAATTTATTTAAATTAGTTTTTATGTAATTGATATGTTTTTATTCAAAAGCTTCCTTTAATCACAAATCACTCGATTGGAAAGAAAATTTTAGGATTTTGCAAAGAAAAGAACAAAAATAAAGCAAGGTACAATTGGCACGCCCCAGCCCGTGTCACGAAGCACGGCCATGTCTGGCACAAGGAGAGACAAACCAAGAGACAGAGAGATGCACGCCCCAAGCCGTGCCGAGGAACACGCCCGTGCGCACTAGCCTTCCCAGGCCGTGCTGCGGAACACGCCCTTGCCTCATATACCTCTGACTTCCAGAGAGATGCACGCCCCAGCCCGTGCTACCCCGCACGCCCGTGCGCGCTATCAACCAGACTTCCAAGAAACTGCACGGCCAGATAGCACGCCCGTGCGCGCTAGCTTGCCAGGCCATGCTACGGAACACGGCCCGTGCCAGAGCCTCTAATCCTCCAAAGACTGGCACCCCAGGCCGTGCCAGGCACACGCCGTGCAGATTCAAGAATTCTATACTTTGAGTCAAAAGTTTGCCCAACTAATTTCTCCATTTTCAAAACAAGAATGGGGGGGGGGGGGCCCTTTGGATTGCTTTCTTCACATGCCAGTCAAAGTTTCAACCATGTGCCATTTGAGACACCATAATTGAGAGCAATTCATGGCTTAATTTACAAACTTTTCCACCTCACAAAGTTGGACTTCACTCATCAAAGCACAAGGCTTGTTTCCCCCAAGTAGTCTATATAAGGAAGCAAAGAAGCCACTCAAAGGGGATCCCATATCCTACACTCTACATCTATTCTTCTTTCTTCCATTTTGATAGTTTTTAGATAATTTTATTTTCTTTTAAAGTTAAGTATCCAAGAGTTGTGCAAAGATTCAAAGAAGCCATCCAAGCAATTTATCTCTAGTTCTTATTTCTAACTCTTAATCTTGTTTACTTCTTTCATTATCTTATTGATTATGGAATATTTATCAAGTATTGTTGAGTTTTATTTAAGTACTATGTGTAACTAAATTAACTAACCTCTTATATAGGGGGTTTGATGTAGCTTTAATCTCTTTTCTAATTTATTTGCAATTAGATTTATTTCCTTTATTCAAGTTATTGATTTATTAAATGAACTTAATGCTTCTAGGCAGAATTTTCCCCTAGATTGATTTATTTCAATTTATCACTATTCGGAAGAAGGATCTTTGATATTGAAAAGGCTTAATAAACACATGAGAATAATAACTTGAGTGTGGAAAGCTTAATACGGTTTGCACTCATGGGGGTTTTCATAAGTTAAAGACCTTAGGTTATGAATTCACAGGACAAACCATAAAACTTAATGATTTAATTCAAGTTTGATTGCGCTATTGGAAGATAGGTAATTAGACCGAGTTAAAATAACTAACAATACATCGAGAGAGCTTGTTAGTGATTTTTGGGTTGTCTCCCCTACTTGAATAATTAAATTGATCAATGAACTAATTAAATAAATTAGATAGAGTTAGGTGAAATCAAAACCCCTAGTAGTTTTACTTCCTTGATTTCTTTAATCAATAATTGCTTGCTTAACTTCTTATTTTTGCTTGTTGAATTTAATTTCTATAAACAATTTCCATCATTTATCGTTTAAATAATAACAAGATAACATAATTTTGGTACTTGGTATACAATCCCTGTGGATACGATACTCTTACTCATCATATATTACTTGTAGTTATATATTACTTGTAGCGATTTGTACATTTGCGAAATGAGCTGTCAAGTTTTTGGCGTCGTTGCCGGGGATTGGCAATACCAATATCAATACGAATTATCTTGTTATTAATTTAGACATTTACTTATTCATCTGTTTTCAGTTATTTAATTTTTTTTTGTAGACGATCTCAGGTTTTATGCAAAGAAGATCTAGAAGGATAGAACCTCTGATCTTTGATCCAGAAATTGAGAAAACTTGCAGAAGGAACAACGCAGCAAGAAGAGCACAAGAAAACACACCCGAACAACAATCAAACATGAACGAAAATAATAATCCTCCTCCTGATATGCCTCTTGCTGCCAACGGACAAAATGTCCGCACCTTGCGAGATTACACCACACCTTCTCTTAACGGAGCTACCTCCAGCATCACTAGACCAAAAGTGGAAGCAAATAATTTTGAAATTAAACCAGCAATAATACAAATGCTTTCCACTTCTATTCAATATGGAGGACTTCCGAGTGAAGACCCTAATGCTTATATCACTAATTTCCTGGAAATTTGTGACACTTTCAAACAAAATGGTGTTTCTGAAGACGCCATTAAATTGAGACTCTTTCCTTTCACTCTAAGGGACAAAGCACGATCATGGTACTCTAAGGGATTAAGCACGATCATGGTTACAATCTTGTCCTGCTGGAAGTTTTACAACTTGGGAAGAGTTAGCCCAGAAATTTTTGGCTAAATTCTTTCCTTCTTCTAAAACAACTAAATTAAGAAATGAGATTATGGCCTTTGCTCATCATGATCAAGAAAGCTTGTATGAGGCTTGGGAAAGATTCAAAGATTTGTTGAGAAAATGTCCTCACCATAGTTTGCCCAAATGGTTACAAGTCCAAACTTTCTATAAACTTTCTCCAAACTTTCTATAATTCATTGTCACCTAACATTAAAATTACTTTGGATGCAGCTGCAGGAGGATCCTTTGAAAGAAAAGAGATTGATGAGGCATATAATTTAATAGAAGAAATGACCAGCAATAGCCATTATCAAAGCAGCTCTGAAAGAAGAAAGACTGCTGGGATTTATGAAATTGATGCCATCACTGCACTCAATGCAAAGGTTGATAATATGGTAAGAAAGCTTGATTTGCTAACCACTAAGTCTGTAAATTCTATCATGCAAACTTGTGACAGATGCAACGAACCGCATGGAGTTGGAGAATGCATGTTAGATTCTGCAAATGCAAACCCACAACCTTGGAGCAAAGTGAACTATGTTGATGGAACCAACAAAGAAAGGAATTACCATATTCGAATCCTTATTGACAACAGCGTTAAGAAAGGAAATCATCCGAATCTTTTCATATGGTAATCTAACAATGCTTTAAAATGCAACCACCGGTTTTCTTACCCCCTGAAAGAAATGCACCACCAGGTTTCTTGCCCCCTGAGAAGAAGTCTCATGATGATCTCCTTACTGCCCTTCAAAATCGCACATGGATTTCATGAACGAAACAAGAGAACACAATAAAATCCAACAAGCTGTGATAAGAAATCTAGAGATCCAAATGGGACAATTTGCAAACATAATGGCAGCTAGACCCCAAGGTACGTTACCTAGCAACACGGAAAAAATCCTAAAGAGCAGGTACAAGCCATCACCTTGAGGAGTGGTAGAGAGTTGGAGGACAAACCCAGGAAAGAAAAGGAAAAGGAAGAAGAGAAAAGGGCACCTATCATCGATCTAGTAGAGAAGGAAGAGGTAAAACCCTATGTTCCACCCATTCCATTTCCACAGAGGTTGAAAAAGACACAAGATGACCAAAGCTTCATGAAATTCCTTGACGTCTTTCAAAAGCTTCAAATAAACATTCCTTTTGC